GGTCTTCCATGGTGCCCAGGGACCTCACATTCAACTCTCAATTCACTGTGTGCCTTAGTAGTCTCTTACAAATTCACTGTTTTTTTAAAAAAGTTTGTTTTCTAGAATTCAATATATTTTTTTTCTCTAGTAGAGAATGACTCATGTTTTCTCCCATTAGTTTAAAAATAAATAACATGTTTTGGGGAGATGAGAAAAAAGCATTAAGATGAAAACCAGGAAAAAAAATCCTATAAACAGTAGCTCTATATTTTCATAGCTGAGATGTCTATACAGTTTGATTCCTCTTTTTCTATATTATAAATATTTCCCATATTTATGCAGTGTTCTGACATTTTTAATGACTGAATAGTATTTCCTCATATGGGATGAACCAAAATTTACCCATCCACCTCCTAGTTGTTAATATTTAGGTTGCAAGAACTCAATCCCAATTCTTACTCAACCACAATGCCACAACCACCTCACTGGAAAGAAGAATAGATATTTCAACGGAGAAGAACAGAGCACAGAGCCTATACAAGAGGAGTCAAATATAGTCTGGGGTCTCAGGGCAGACTTCTCTGAAGAAGGCATATTTAAATGGCTCTGCAGAATCCTAAGACATTCACTAAAGGGGTGGAAAGAGCCCCTCCGCCCCCGAATAGGGAACCACAGGGGAAATGTGGCGTGACAGTCTCCGGCTTGGGGAGGTGCGTTTGAGGTCAGTGGATGGGGATGAATGGCAGGAAGTGATGCTTGTTGAGTAGGCAGGGGACAGATCATTAATTGCCTTATAGGCTAGGTTTAAGATTTTGGTGTTTATCTTTTAAAGAAGCCTCTGGAAAGTTCTAAGAAGGAAAATAACATTACCAGAATTGCTTGAACTATAGTATACAACGTAGGTTGGTGGGAGGAAAACAGTTTTCAGGAGACATGTTATCTGGGGAGATGGGGACCCCGAGGAGGAGTCATGGGGACAGGAGTGGACTGAGGTGAGAGAGGCCTGGGAGGGAGAGCGTCAGGACTTGGTGACTGGAGGCAGGAGGGAGGAAGACGTCAAGAACTCTCAGTTTTCAGGCTGTTTGATGGATGGGTGATGCGGCAGCTCACTGACCGGACCATATGGGAGGAGGGGCAGGTTCTGGGCCAAGACCAGGAGTGCGGTTTGGGATGTGAGGTTCAGGGAAGTGCCTCTGAACCATCCAAAGAACAATGTCCAGGGAATGCTTGTATTTTGAGATCTGAGTTGAGAAGAAATCTCTCTGCTGGAGATAACATGAAGCAGTTAAGGGTCTATGGATGGCACGTGAAGTCACAGGGTGTGATTGTCAAGTATGGTATGAAGACAGACGAGGACGGAGCCCCCGATGCAAGCTCTGCTGCCCAGGTAGATAGATGGCCCTTCAGGACTGGAAGTCTTTGTCCCTTAGCTTTGGCTGGAAGCCTTAGCTACTAGCCCAGTCCAGGAACTGCCCTTGGCTGAAAAGAGCCACCCACCGTGCCCAAGGTCTTGAACGGGGGGAAGGGCACCCGACCACATCTCAGCCAAGGACAACTAAAACGGGCCATCCTAGCTGCAGCGGCACTTGCAAGGCTGTCCGAGGGCTCTGTTGAGGCTAGTACAGTTCAAGCCCTTGGTCTGGCCAAGTCGGCTTTCTTTCCTGCCCTTCTCCTTCCTTTCCCCCTAACAAACTTCCTGCGTTCAAAACTCTCAGAGTTGGCTTTTGGGGAACTTGATCTGCAACCCAAACTTCCCACTTGGTTGTGACTTATTTTACACCATAGGCTGGGCAGCTTTATGTTGGAAGAGGCAAATGAATGGATCATTTAACAGGAAAATTATCTCTAGGAATGCCTTTTAAAGACATGTTTCTAGGCAAAATTCAAAAGTTTTTTCCTCAAAAAGCTTTTATTCTTGTCAAATAATTTCTAAGTGGATCCCCAGGCTTTCCTTGGAAGGGCCCCGGGTAAGTCATCCTGCTTGTCCCCAGCAGTGGGCCTCCTTGATTCAGAGTCTCCTTCAACTCTTCCGAGCCAATCAGAGGAGAAGCTGACCTGGCCTTCCCGCCATTTGCCTTTCTGCCTCTCCTTTGTCCTTTTTTCCCCTTTAAATCAAAAGTAGGCAATGACCCATTTCCTTTTTAAGAGGAAAGAGAATCTCTTGCTTTTCATTGCTTTCTGACTGTTGTTATTTGAAATTTAAATATACAGCTCCTAGCAAGAGTCTGAGCATAGCTTCTTTTTATGCTTGCCTCTGGGACATTCTTAGAACAGATTTCTAAGAAGCTTATATTCCTATCACACCATTGCATTTGGAATAACATTTGTAAACTGACAACAAGATTTATAATGAGACATTTAAAGTGCCTTTATCATCTCTTTCATTGGCTATGTATCTATACATGGAAACAAAACAAAACACTTAATGCTAAAATGTAATGAAACCAATCAGAAGCATCACAGATTCATTGAAATGTATGTATGTAAAATAACTATTTTTACATGAAGCATCATTTGAGCCTTTTGGAAAAAGACTCACATTGTATTCACTTTTCTCCTGCTTCCAATTCTGACATGAGTGTCTTAGGAAATGGGAATAAATGGAAAAATATGCATCAGTGAAAATAAAGACTTAGGTTAACATCTGATGAGTATGTGAGAAATGAAAAGCAGAAAAAAAGAGGACACATAATCTGCACTAATTATCTCATTTTTCACTGGAGGAGACCAAAAGAATTTGTTTTATCCTTGAGGCTGAGAGATGAATGTCAATTCAAATACGTTTTTGAAATATTAAAAAATCACCAAAGACATGATGTTAAAACCTGTGTTCCTTCCAAATAACTGGAGAAAAAGTTTATGTAGGAAACAATGAAAGAATCATAGAAATGATGCTGAGTATAAGACACTGCACACCATTGTCAGGGTTAATTTTAAAAGGCTTGGAAGAACAAACAGAAACCTCTGAAGGAAGGATTCGCAACTGTATTTTAGATGGAGAGGAATTCAAATTACAAAACACTAAATGGGACAGATTATTTTATATTCCTTAAAACAAAATTTACAAGAAGATGTGACATCATGAAATTGTGTACCAAATAACATAGCTTTAATGCAAGGAGAAATATCACGATAGTAATGGAAAATAACAATGCCCTTCTCTAATTTCTTGACAGATCAAGCAAGTAAAAAAAAAAATCAATGAGGGTATGGAAGATTTAAATAACATAAGTAACAAACTTGATTTAATAGTTAGGTATAAAAATCTATATATGTAATATAATTTCTTCATGCTCAGAGAACTTTAACAGAAATAATTCATGTCTTAGGCCATGGAAAAAATTTAATACATTCCCCAAAGCAGAAAATATACAGAAAACACTCTTGGACTACATGCAATAAAACCAGAAACTAGTCTCAAAAGATATAAATTAGCAACAATGAAAACTAAGCATTTAGAGATTAAAATGTAAAAAACCTTATTTTACTGAACAGCTCTTGAGTCAGAGAAGCAAATCTTAAGTTCTAAAATAACTGAGGAATGATAATTTTAGAAAAGCAGCACTATTTCAGAGGGAAATTGAAGTAACAGCATTAATTTCTTTTATTATCAAACAGGGAGAAGGCGAATCAATAAACTAGATATTTGTCCCAGAAAGTTCAAAAGAGAAAAATGAGATAAAGATGAGGAAATGAAGAAGAAAATATTTTTAAAAGTACAAATTAATAAATTAGAAAACTAAAAAAATGATTAATGTAAGAGATGATTTTTTAAAACAATGCTTATCTAATCATTGAATAATAGTAGATACTTGTTTTTGCAGTTGTTCTAGCACTTTATGCATATTAACTCACCTAATCCTTTTAACAACCCAAGAGTGTCCTCAGTTTACAATTAGGAAATTGGCATAGAGAGGTTAAGTCACTTACCCAAGGTCATAAATCCAGCAAGTGGCAGGAGTGGGAACTGATCCCAAACAGCCTGCCTCCAGAGACTGGGTCTTTCACTCCTACACTATATTCATGGAAACAATAAACAGCGATTAAATTTCTAAGTGAATACAATGCATAGAATATTATGCTAAAACCACAGGTGATTAAAACCATTCTTTACAAGGGATTTATGGTGAAAGCCACCTAGAATTATCTTATGATGCTCAAAAGAACGAGTGTTGCTTTGTTTCATCCAGGTCCCTGCCATACACTCAAGGGTGTGTTACAAGGTCAAGAGGAAAGCCAATCAACTGGACCCTGCTTGCAGGGTATGGTGGTACCTAGATATCTGTTGTTTGGAGTGCTCAGCACTCCTTTCCACTTTTTGGAAGTGATCCCTTCCTTTCTTCCAAGAAATGCTCTTGTCCACTTGGACCATGTGGCAGTGATCAGGGCTCAAATGCCAGCTCCTGCTGCTCTACCAGCTCTGTGACCGCATGTGACCTGTGTGATCACAGGGGCATTGTGAGGACTGCAGTTGATGCTCTTGCACTGCTTGCTCTGAGCTAAACGCGTTTCCCACATTATCGCGTTCCCGTCTCACACCAGCCCCTCCTGGAGGTGCTATTGGAAGTCCCATCTTGCAAACGAGGGAAGTCGTCTGAAAAAGCCTGGACAACTGCCCACCCCTGCATGGGAGATAATCAACATTAGCTCCCCTTTCCCCCTTTCCGCAGCTCAGAGCCCCACGCAAGGGCCGAACCACTGTGTTTCACAGTATCATTGTTCTGGGAGATGTTCAGAGGTGGCGCCTTTCCCCAATAAATGCGCTTTTCCAGTTTTTCTTAAAGGCTCAAAGATTGCTTGTTCTAGGATGTATCACATTTTGTGTGTGTTTGTGGCCAGAATCCCTCCCACTTTCTTGAAACCGTTTTGTCCCGTGCCGGTTGTGGCCATGCATGAGAAACAGCAGGTGGTGCCAGATGCCAGATGGTGTGGGAGCCCGTCCGCGGAGGGAGGGGGCGCGAGCGAGCGAGCGAGCAGGCGAGCAGGCGGGCCGCTGCCAGGGGCTCATCCCTGCTCGCTCGCGGGCGCCTGGCTCTCAGAAGCTCCCAATCCCGACGCACGCAAGGCGCTGTCCTTTCAGCACCACGAGCCGGCCCGAGGAGGGAGGACTCTTGGCCGTCGTCCTCCTCTTCAAATTGGCTGGAATCTGCTCTGATCCCCAAGAGTGCAGCACAGTAAGTAGGCATTTGTTTCTGCTATAGCCACTCCCCGATATCCTCCAGCCCCTCGCCATCCCTTTCACCCCCACAGCAGCCCTGTTTTGTCTAATAACGGTCCCTCTGGGGGACTGACAAGAGACAATCAGCTGTGCTGGCCTTCTGGGGGTGGGGTGGGAGCGCCGCTCGCCTTCTAAGGGGGCTGGAGAGGAATAAATGTGATTTGTTTATTTAGTTGGCAATCTTGCAATACGGGGCTTGCTAACTTTCCATGGAAGAAAAAAAAAGGCCCTCTGCTATTGAGGAAATGGAGTTATTCCACGGCTGAATAACAGGGTTGGGTTTCAGCCAGTCGTTTTCTGGTTTGTTTTATGAAATTGTGTCTCCTGAACAAGCTACATATTATGTAAAAGGGCACGCTACCCATAGAGATGGTGAGTGTATTTGTTGTGCTTTAGGGAGATTGCTGAGGACAAACCAGTAGAATAAAATAGCAAGCAGGGCGGGAAGGTGAGCTCTACCATACTGCAGGGCAACCCAGAATAATGGGATTTAATTGTGTGCTAAGCAAAGCTTTTCCTTGAGATTCTATGCCTACGTTTGTTCTAGTGTCTTGGATTTTTTTTAAAGCTTGTATATTTTTTGTGTGTGAGTTTCCCAAATTTGAGGGCTGTTGAGCCCTGTGGGCAGATGGCGTATTTGGGCGATTACAGAAGTTTTACCGGATAATGGGAATCCTGTCAGGAGAGCTAGCGGAGGAGCCATGCCTTCGCTACAGTGAGGGCCGCCCGCGCGGAGCTGTTAGCGCTGTTTTCTCTGCCCCTGCCTCCCCTCGCACTGAAACTGGAATCCCGCTGCCTGCCTAGGTTGGGAAGAAAGGCTTAAGGATGGTGAAGCTGAACAGCAACGCCGGCGAGAAGGGAGCCAAGCCGCCTTCCGTGGAGGATGGCTTCCAGACGGTTCCCCTCATCACTCCCCTCGAGGTGAATCACTTGCAGCTGCCTGCTCCGGAGAAGGTAATGCAGGTCTCTCCTGGCCCGTCCCCACCCCCTCCCATGTCAGGAAATAAAGTGGCCATGCGAGCCACCCCAGCTCTCTCATCCCCGCGGCAGCCAAGGACGCTCCCTTTCTTGTAAAATGTAGCTGTCCCTGCCGGAGGCATGACATCACTTGTGTTATGTCAGATTTATGGTAAGTGTTTATTCATTTTGGTTCCCATGTCTTCTTTTTTAAAGTTTTGTCATAGCAGAGGAATATGAATGAGCTTCTAAATGGTGACTGAGAAAATCGTCTTGATTATTTGGGGGTGGCGTTTCAAAAATCAACTGGCATGGGTCTGAGGACAGAGGATTGGAAGCAGTCCAGCAAGCATTTAGTTAGCACCTGCTAAGGGCCTGTCCCGGTGCTGGAAGTTGGTTATGAAAAGATTACAAAATTCCTACCCAGTTTAACACGGACCGGGCGCACCGTGGCGGACACTGTCCCTGGGCACGGTGACAGCTGTGTGAGCAGAGGGGTGGGAACAACTAAACTCTGTTGCGGGCGGGGGGACTGGGAGGGCAGGTGAGGCTGCTGCAGGGGACATTTGAATTTGGCTTTTAGAGGTGAGTACATGGGAGGAAAAGGCATTTAAGGCAAAGGGCACGCGTGGGAAATAGCACGGCCAGGGCAGTGTCTTTGGGGGAGGTGTGGCTGGAAACGAGTGCCCGACTGAGGGGCCGTCTCCTGCATGGCTGTGGTCCGTGAGGGACGCAGGTGGGCATTTATACACAGGTGTGCATGGGCGGGGGGCGCCATCCCACGGACGCAGGTGGGAGAAGCATTGCCGGTTAAGAGCCACCGGAGAACACCTGGGGTTTTCTAATGTGAGCTTTTACACACTGGAGGAGGCAGATTTGGAGGCAAATTATGGAGTTCCCTAGCTGAAGAGTGAACAATGGATCATCCTGTCTGTTTGATTCTCTCATTGGTGTCTCCAGGAGGGCATTGTCTGTCTTAACCAATTGGCTCTCTCCGATGAACAGAAGAGGAGCCAGAGCTGGATAAAGGGACTGGCTGATTGGCTGGGGGTTGAGTCATCTGTTTTGAAAGTGCAGAGGTTGTCAATATGAGAATGTGCATGGGGGTGACAGAAATAAAGAAACCTTGAGCCAGACTGCGAAACAGAAAAGGTCTTTAAGAATTAAATTCAAACAGGCAATTACCACTAAAGCGAGGTGGAGGGGCAGTATTAACTGGGTGTCTGGGGCGGGGAGAGCAGAGGTGCTCAGTTTTTGACTGCATATCAGGATCGCCCGGTGCGGTTTTGCAAACGCTGAAATTGAGGCCACCCCCTAGAACAACTGAATGAGACTCTCTGGAGGTTAGACCTGGGCATCAGAGTTAATGAAATCTTTCCGGGTGACGCCTATGTGCAGCCAAAGTTGAGAACCACTGTGCTAGACACATGTTACCCCTGGGAGTCGGGATTATGCACTCACATTTAAGGGTGAAAGGTGAAGGGTCCGAGAAGTTTGGTTAGTTTCCAAGGTCACAGAGGGAGCGGGTGGTGATGCTGGAATGTGAGCCCAGAAATAATGAAAGTTGGGCGGGGACGTGGAAATATTCTCTTGAGGTTTCGTGAGGCTTCAGGAAACACTTTACCTTTCAGCCAGTGCCTACAGCCACAGGGATCTGCATGTCCCCAAGAGGCGTGCCAGGAAAGGGGATTGGGGTGAGGTCACCTCTCCCCCCACCAGACACACACCTGCAGGTCACCCAGCGATCCTCTGGTCTCTGTCCCTGTTTATTCCTCCATCCCGCTCCATCCTCCTGCCTTCATGGGTTTTCTTCTCTCCTTGAGGGAGGAGCCGGACCCAATAACCACTGAGCACCTAGTCCAGGTGAACCAAAACGCTGTCCCAAAGCCTGAAGGATAAGTACATTGTAGCCCTGCATGGAAAGGGAAACCAATGCATCCTGAAAGATGCAAATCCCAAAGGAACACATCCCTACAGGGCCACATCACACAGCCTTCTTCTGATGTTCATGACGAAGTCTTCCTACCAGGTGGACCTCAGTTTCCTCCTCTGTGAAGTGAGGACAATCACAGCTACTTCCCAATGGTCAGAACACAGAAGTGGCTTCATTTGCAGAGGGCCTGGCATAAAACTGATGGTAAGAGTATAGTAATGGCCATTTTCAAGGGCTTCCTAAATGCTAGATGCTGTTCTGAGCCACATGTACACACATACACACACATGACCTTCTTTCACCTTTTTAATAATAACAGGACCCATAAGAAAATTGCTGCTTTAATCTGGTTTTTAAAGATGATGAAACTCAGGCACTGAGTGGTAACTTCCTAAAGCACATAGTTGCTAAGCATTCTGGCAATGTCTGGGAACCTAGAACCCAGGCAGAATTGTTCTAGAAGCTTCCATCTTGGCAGGAACATGGAGCCAGCTGGCTTGGGAGTCCACAGACTGGGGCTGGATCTTGAGCTCAGCTGCCAGCCCACAGTGCGACTCATTTGAGTTGTTTTGCTTAGGCCTCTCTCTTTCCCGAGTGGGACATGGAATAAGCAATTTTCTGTGCTGGTATTTAGATTTTATAATCTTTACAAGAGCAACCAAGGTTTTCCCCTGACATTAGAACTGATGTGTTAAAAGTGAATCCCATTCCAGAGCCAAAGGGGTCCTCCAAGTGCTTAATGACCATCACAGACTGATCAGTAGCCTCCCTCGTCCGGTGACATGGAGCAGGTTTCTTACACTGTCCCAGCCTCCTTGTGTGTAACGTGGCACTGACGACACTGGGACTCACCCTCACGGGGCCCAGGGAAGGCAAAGGGAGTCTGGCACAGTCGTTGGCTCTTTGATATGGCTCCAGTGAGTCTGCGAGTGTTTGAAGCTAAAATCGTTGTCAGAAAGAACTTGACCCCAGTGCTCAATCATGGTTTTTCTTTTTTGAAAATGTAAAATGCAGAGTGAGCTTGGCAGGAACGAGGACGTTCCTGACAACCACAACACCGACAGCGACCTTCAGATGCGTCCGCTGACTCTCTTGGGTATGGGACGCGAGTTTCAGGGGAAACTATTGGAGGCTAAACGGAGAGCACGCGTCTGTCTGACGTCCTTGCTCTGAGCTGGGGCCAGGCGGCAGGGGACACTCATAGCTGTTGTTCCAGCTTCCCTTCCCAGCAGCCACACCAGGCGGGCGCAAGCAATCCCGTTTTACTAACGGGGAAACTGAGGCTCAGATCGATGGAGTGACTTGCTTGAAACTCACAGATAGAGTGGAAGGTCTGGGGCTGGAACCCCAGTGCACTTGACACCCCAATTTCCTCTCTGCATCACACTGCCTTCAGTAATGAGACAGCCCGCCCATCCTCTGGAGAGCGCTTCTTCAAACTCCACACCCCCTCATCCATGGCCAGCTCCTCCCCGAGGTGCCGGGGACCACCCCCCGGGGCGCTCCCAGCCTCCAGCGCGCTCACCCAGCCCAGTGCTGGGGAGGTGGCGCCTGCCTTGCGAGGGGAGAGCGCAGGCCTCTTGGTTGGTGCCCCCCCTCTTCTCTCGCTCACTCTACTCGGTCCTCCACACTGTACCCGAGCTACTGTCCCCAGAGTTGTGACCAGGTGCTTTCCCTGCGAAACCCTTTCAGGTGTCCCCACAGGGTACAACCCACAACTCCTCACCTTCGTGTTCCAAGTCGTTCATTGCCTGCTCCACTGGCCCCCGTTCCCACCGCGTCCCACCTTGTACCTGGGACAGCAGCACGTCAGACCGATCTAAAGCAGTGGCCTCTGTCTGCCAGGGGGACATGTGTCAATATCTGGAGACATCTTTGGTTGTGACACTGAGCCCGAGGCCCTGGCCCTCCCCCGCCCCCACCTCTGTAGCCTCCGTCCTGGCGCACAGCGGGCGGTGGGAAATGCGGGCTGAACGAGGCCCCTTGCCCCTCGCCCAGCCTAAAGGTGGGCGTGGTTCCTCCGCTTGGCAGGCAAGCGGATAGACTAGAATCCAGGCGGCTGGGTGGCCTTCTCCAGACCACGGGAGCAAGCTCTTGAGAAGCTGGCCCATCGAATTTCAGGACATGCCTTTGGGGCCTCACTGCCTTCTGTTTATCTAAGTGACCACAGTGACCCGGGGGTCCCCCCACGTCCTCTCTGAGGTCACTACTATTATCCCCATTCCACACATGCAGAAACAGTCTTGGGGCTGCTGTCCTAGGAGGCGCCACGAGAGAACAGGGCAGCCGAGACCTGCACAGAGGGGTGTGCGGGGAGCGAGCGGATGGCAGCTTGGCAGGAAGCAGCCACGGACAGGCCCGCCCCACGCTGGCGAGGCCCCAGGTGGATCGTGCACTTGGCAAGCCGGCAGCCAGGCCCTTGGCAGGCGTCCCTTTCCTTTTGGCTGATTACTAAGTCTTTACACACCCTGGCTCACCTGCCTGTGGGAGGAAAGGAATGCAGGCACTTGGAGATGGATTACTGATGCTTGGCACACTTCTTAGTTTGCCTGGTAGACCACATGCACTTTGTGGTTCTAGAGACCTGGGTTCAAATCCCAGCTAAGCTATTTATTTGCTGTGTGGCTTTAGGCAAGTCACTTAGCATCTCTGGGCTTTGGTTCTTTCCAACAGTAAAAATGAACGCAATACCTACCTAATGGGGCTAGTGTGAGGGAAAAACATGAAAATTATCTAAAGACACACAGATGGTGCTCATTGATATAATTTCCTTTCCTCCACTGGACATCAGGAATATATCTCCTAAAGTTGACATTTTTGGAAGCCATTTGTTAAAACGACATGTGCTGAGAAGGATGGGGTTTCAGAGGCAGGGGTGCAGGGGCCGGACGGGGGGACCTGGACGGTTGGCCGAGGGGGTGCCACTCTTGTTATGGTGTCCCGTGTCCTTTCTTGGCCTCTCCGGTGGCTTCACCGGAGTTTCTTTTTCTCCATGAGACACAGGATCAGGGACCCGCCAGCGCCCCCCCAGGGAGCGGCAGCAATGCCCGTGCCTGCAGCTGCC